ATTCATGCGAGGGACGCAGGACCCGTTTACCGGTTTTATAATGCAAAGGGAGAAAAAAAAGAGAAGTAAGTAGGTGGTGAAAAGGCAAAAGAATTATGAGAGAAGAATATAGTATAGTTTTAAATAAAAACACCCGCCCGTGTTGTTTTTTTAAAAAAAAAAAAAAAAAAAAAAAAGTCAGACCCCCAGCACAGAGGCGGGGATGAGATGAAATGCGATGGATGGCCATGTCATGGGGGCAGGGGCTCGAACCCCACAGCATCGTGTAAAAAGGTGTGTGGCCGTCTTTTCTTATTTAGAAACACATACGGAATCAATGGGTGATGGTCCTGAGTGGTTAACACTAGGGTAGGACAGGGGGGGTGGGGGTGCGCCAGGGCAAAAAGATAAGAGGAAGGGTGGGCGGGGTCTTCAGAGGGGTTCATCTGGACAACCGAGTGGCCGAGTACTGTGGGTGACTGCCATCTGTCTAGTATCCCACCTCTACAACAACCTGAGCTTTTAAAAAAAAAAAAAAAAAAAAAAAAAAAAAAAAAAAGGGATGATATTTTTTATTTATGGTATAATTTGCGAAATAGCTCTATAAGTTGAGATATATGCCAAAATGCCCCTAAAGGATCTGGGTAGAGGGGAATACCCCTCTGACACAAAAAATGCTTTGTGAAATGCCCCTGGCATCGGTTGGACCTGTCATCTTTGCAAAATACCCCTAACGGGTACTGTCTGTGACGCGCTAACCTCACGCCCTGTGCTGTCTTCCGTTCGGAGTGCTAAAGGAATGGAAAGAAGGCCCAGAAAAACAGCAAGATGGGGTGTGCCAAGGATTTTTGGAAAATTGAGTGTGGGGACACAGACAGAACTGAAATCCCCTGTGCTGGTCCAATGAAGTAAGTCGGGTGCTTTCGCGCGTCGCAGAATGCGCGCGCGGGCATGGCGCGAAAAGAGAAAAATCCAAATTCAATCTAAAAAGTATTGTCGAACTTCCCACCGCGCTGTGGATCTTCGTTTAGAGCGGAAGGGTTTCGGTACACTCCGCGT